CACCGAACTTTTTAACATCCCTACTTACAAGGCAAGAAGAAAATGGTGTTAGTGTTGACATGAACGGTATAGCTAAATAGTGCTTGGCTGTTGTGCGACGTGCCGCGACCAGACCTGTGTGCAAGCGACACGCTCGCCGTTACAATATAACGTTCTTTTTGACACGCCAATTTTAGCATTAGCCTTAAATACCGATAAGGATTTAATTATTTACCATAACGGTACAATTTAGTTTGAACCGGTTTATAATCAAACCTTTTACGGACCCTTGACGCTGAAGATCTTATTACCTGGTTCGTGTAACTTCAGATGGTATTTGAATAATCCTTCGCTACTCAATCTTTTTCCAATATCCAACTCCAAATAAAGGAAATGCATATGACAAGTATAAATGGAAAAGAAAGAAGAAAGAAGAATAACGCATATGGTAAGCAAAAAAAAAGCCTTTTATGTGTCATCATCCTTTATGGATACGTTACGTCTTAAATGAGACGTTCTCAATGATAATAGAAAGGTTACATTTGATAAGGCTGAAAGAAGGGACGAGATTAGTCTAGTAGAACACAGGTGACAAGTACTACTCAAATAATGTACTTGTGTTGAGAGAATAAAATTTGGAAAATTATTTATTATAATTTGCGTTATCTCTGGTTTTTACTTTGAATAATGCGACCTAATAACATTATACTATATGAAGTCAATAAAAACCAAACATTACTTTCGTGGTCATTTCTATATCAGCAAATTATTAAATTTGGCATGTAAATATAACAGCTTTTTGTGAGGTAAATCCTTAAATTCAAAATCACGACTTCACAGCGCCAAAACAAAAAAGATACAATTTTAGAAATCATATATGCATGTTCATGTGATTGAAACAAAATTTAATGTTGGACACGTTCATTACTCATAAATGTGAGCTCAAAAAAAAGTTTTCAAAAATTCATTGATTTCAATAATGTCAACAGGCGTTTACGAAATTCCGCTCATTACTGAAAGTTTGCTTGAAATAATTTTAAGGGTATAAATTAATTCTTTTGAAGGCACTATAGCCTTACGATGTTAACTTATACATTGATATTTATATATTTGTTGTTATATTATTCCGTATTCAGGAATTAGAAACCGGCAGAAAAATTGCCGTTACCATCAAAAATGAATCTTCTGTAACTCTCGAAAATCCTAAAGTTTATTTTTCTTCCGGTACATCACAATTTGGGCTCCCTTCGCCTCCACTTTATAGTGGCAAAGGTTTGGTCTGGGGTGCTCGCAAGAGTGAGTATGTGACTAGAGGAACCGCAGGAGTTATCGTGTACCACATCAAAGATTATAACCTATCTTTGGCCTTTATGTGGAGTGTTCCTTTAGTCTACTTATTTTATACGAATTGGTGGAATTTAAAGATTTATGAAGGTTTTATCGAACCTGATGAAGGTAATAGAATTCATTCTTTTCTATGGTATATAAAAAAAAAAAAAACAAATTATTATCACAACACTAATTCTTGGTTATTGGTCTAGAATTTTTTTGGAAGATGTATTATGACTATCCTCATAAAGGAGATGGTAATCCTTACAGCGGAACTCTTAGTAGATGGAGTTACGAAGGATCGATGGGGGACGCTGGACAATCTACTATCACTATTACCTTCCGAGAAGGAAAAGCTTAGCTTATTAGGAAGAATTTTTAACTTCATTTGTAAAATACGTACTCTAAACACATTCTATCACTGATTTGTCACAAAATAATGTTACTGTTGGCTTATGCTTTTAGTGATAATTATTGATTAAAACTTCAATTTTGTCGCCGTATACAGTATACTAATTTTTGTTGTATTGATTTACAAATGATTAAAGGAAACAAACCATATTCTAACAATTATCTGTGATTGGATGTCTTAATGTGTAAGCGAAATATTGTTTAGAAAGCAGGAAAATTATATTACGACGAATTACTTAATTTTTCTAAGATATGAAAACGAAATGTTATATCACACGATTTAAATGAAAAAAATCGTACTGTACTACTGTATTAATTTGTGAACTTTGGTTTAATAACACGATGACCGAAAAAAGATAAACCAAACAGGTTATTTTTTTTTTCGAAAAAATACAATTATCCATTGGTCAACTTTTCGTTCATTTGTTATTCGGAAGCCAATTTTAAAATGGTTTGTCCAAACATCAAGATAGATTAGTTTACTGTATATTCTTACTATTTTAATAATATCCTATGTATATGTTGCAAAAGAAAGAACAGTATTTATTATAACTTTAAGTTTGCAATCATTTTTAAATATTTTTTATATAATTTGTTTGATCATAAAATAAAATGAACATTTA